AGACACATTGTATGGTCAGAGTGTAAATTTTTCGTGCTTGGATTAAGTACGTTGACGTGTATTAAAAACAACCTAAAACCATCAATTCGGTAACATTCCATTCTTTGTATGTTTTTAAAAAAAAAGTTAAAACGAAAAAAAAACATCATATTTTGTCTGGTAATATGTACAGAATAAATAAAATGTCACGATTGTCCAAACGTGTCCAAACGGAACACCGTAGGTAATATGAAGGATCCCAGTATGTGTATTTTAAGCTGAATGTTACTTTTTGCTTTGTACCAAAATTAAATGGTAAAACATTTTTCATAAGGATGATATTGTACATTTTCTAAAGGTTCCTTATTTCTAAAAAAGGGTACCCATTATAACATCCGAGCTTTAGTTCAGAAAAGTGGTCAGAACTCAATTTTCGTACGGTAAAGTATGTTAAAAAATTGCAGACAGGTGTCCTTTAAGGTATATAACTGACCTATCTTTTTCAGTTCCAAATAGTGCCTGTTAGGACCGCCATACCTTAATTGAAATATTTTCATTTCATCCACATGCAAATATAGCCGGCGACTGTGAAAATTTCATTTTACAATTTCACTGTGAATTTATCCAAAATTTATTTCACTGTTCACTGACATGCATGTGATAAAATTATACTTACCATAATATTATTATAAGATTATTTAAAAGCTTAATTTAGCTTTTTTCATAATTATTTAGAATAAACAAAACAAGTAAATTTATTTTGGCTTTTTGTTTTTATGTATTTTCTTCTGAACATAAATCTAACTGAATAATCTGGTTTCGTAACGTGCAGTTTATTCCTTCTTAAATTTTATAAACAAATACAAATTAGGAAACCTTTAGCTTTTTTAAAAATCCTTTTTTCCCCAATAACAGCAACTGTCCAAATAATAAATTATGAATTTAACCCAAAAACAGTTTTTAAAACAATGTTGGGTAAAGCCCTTTTTTGTTTAAGAAATTTTTGAAATAGAAAATATTTATATTTAAGCTTGGCTATTCCATTCCTTTCACAAAACGTGGGGAAAAGGGTTTTGCAAATTATTTGAATTTTTACTTTTTATAGGGGTTTTAGTTGTACTTTAGAAAATCAAAACCCCCTCAGCAATCCGAAAATTTAAATCGGGCTCCGTTCCCCTTAAAATCCCAAAAAGCCTTGTGATAATGATTTAAAAGTGGGGAATTTTCTAAAAAAGTAAAAAAAGTGATAACCCCAAATTTTTCCGTTTGTTTACAAAGTTTTTTTTCCCACAACCCCAAAGCCCTTTGCCTAACCCCTTTATTTAAAAGTTTCATGAATAATTAATAGTTTGTCATTAACCCTTTTTTTAAATTTAACCCCTGTTCCCTTTTAGACATCCCCATACTATTCCCCCGGGCCTTTTAATTAATGTTAAACTTTATTTATAAATAAAATATTTTTTATACAAAGTTCCAAAATTTTTGGGCCCCGCCCAAAGCCAAGTTATTCGCCGGGTTTTTCGTGTGTTTCGTAAAAGAAGTCGCTTCGGGAATTTTTATAATGTTTTTGCAAATGCCCCAAAAAACCCCCAAACGAAAGTATGGGGAATAAATCAAACTGAATGTTCCGTTTGTGCTGGCTTTTCCGTTTTTAGTTATATTTTTTTTCCTTTTTCCTATAAACCCCAAATAATTTTGTACAAACCTTGAATTCTTTAAGCAAGATTTGAAACCCCCTTTTTGGGGTTTTCCCTTTTCAAAAAAAAAATGCCCCCCTAATTTATTGTTAAACCCACCCCGGGAAAAAAAACAAACCTTTCCCCTTTAAACCCCCCCCGTAAAAAATCAGATAGCCTCCCGGGGTTTTATGCTCTTTCTTACTTAATTTAAATTATTTTAAAAATAAAGGGCATAAATTAAGCGGGTTTTCCCTTCCCGACTGGGAAAACTTTCTTTAACAATGAAAGAGTAAAATTTACCCCTAAACATTTCAGTTTTAAAAGTTTTTAAGTTTCATATATTTAAACCCAAAAAAGATAAAAGAAAAAATTTTTTGCCCCTTTATGAAAAAATGAAATTTTATTTACAAAGCGAAAACCCAAAAGAAATATTTTAGTGGTTTCGAGGGCCCAAACTGTGTTCACAAGTGAAAATTAGTTTTTATTTAAAAAAAACAAAAAAATGTTTAAAATTTTTTCATGCCTATAAGGGTTTTCAATATTTTTACCGTTTTTTTCTCGTGTAACGAAATGCGCTCTCATTCATGACATCTTCAATTCATGACGTGACATTCATCTAGTTAAGACAAAATTCTAAAACATGTAGTGAATTTCGTTACATTATTAAATGATATGTGGATATATTCATGTACATGTAATACTACTACTACTACTACTAATAATAATGATAATAATAATAATAATAATCAAAACGACTAAATTTTTTTTTAATTTGATCTTACACAGAAAACAAACAACTATTCAACTAATTTTTCTTTTCAAGGGTTTTCCATATTTTTACCGTTTTTTTCTCGTGTAACGACATGCGCTCTCATTCATGACATCTTAAAATTATGACATCACATTCATCTTGTTGAGAGAAAAGAATTACGTATTCATTCGTCAGTCATGAATTTATTTCTTGACAACTACATTTCATTTTCAGATTAAAACGAAAAGGTATATAATAAAAGGAAATTTATGTTGTTGCAGCTTTCTGAGGCTATGCATTTTTCTACTCGCAACCTTCGGTCTCGCGAGATATCAATTTTCCACCGCGAAGAAGCTCGAAAACCACTGAATTTATAATAAAGATAATAACGCAGAGGAATAGAAGAAAACATCAATGACCCAGAAATGACAGGGTCTAAAAGGTATGACACAAATTAAAAAAAAACAGTTTTATATCGATAATTAAAAGAATTTAGATAAATAAAAATACTCTATATTAAGAATAAACAAAATAAGAAAATTTTTCTTTTTATGTTTTCATGTCTTTTCCTCTTAACATTAATCTAACTGAAAGATCTGGTTTCGTATCGTTAAGTTAATTCTTTTTTCTTTTTGGTAGTTTTTATTCTACTTGATATATCTTTTTGTTGTTTGGTTTATATTAAGGTAGAATAATGCACGGGGCACGATGTATCCATGACTTAACGCGCGTTTTAAACCATTTTAGGTTTGCTTGTTTGATTTTTAACCAATTCTGTTCAAAACAATCACATGAGGAAAGCAATTTTCTATATAATGGTGAGAATTTGTGAATAAGGAATTACTGTATTTTAAAGCTTGGATATTCTGATTTTCTTTGTCCTATTTTGAGGAAAGTGTTATGCAATGATAGAATTTGATCTTCTTGTAGTGAATTCAGTATAAAAACAGATTATTGGTTTGTTTTGGTTTTATTAATTGTTTGTTTTGTTTCTGTTTTTTTATATTTGTTTTTCTTTCCCCCTTTTTTTGGTATTATTGCTCCTGCACTAACAACGATTTAACAACCAAGATAACATTGTGATTTTTAAAATATTTCAGATTTAGAAAAAAAAAAAAGATTTTTGAATACAATTTGCATGCAGAGAGTTTGGTCACTGCCATGTTAAACGTGTTTCGCTTTGTTAAAGTAATACATTGTTTATGATAAAAAAGACTGACTTTTACACACGCAGTAGCCCTTCTTTCAGTATGTTATCAATTACAAATCTGTTATTTGTAAAGCCTATTCATTAAAGATATTTATGGTATGTTTTTAAACAATGCTTTTATACAGACTTTAATCGTTTTAACGAGTGTTTACCTAAAATTATGTCATGAATGACTTTGTCTATTCTTTTTACAAAACTATGGGCATGGTAAAAGATAAAATATTTGCATTGTTTAAGAAGTCCTAGATTATGTTCAGTTCAAATGATGTGCCCATCAAAACTTCCCTTTTCGGTGCAAATGGCTTTCTATTGGTTAGCAAAAAACAAATATAATGCCATCTTGATATCATTGTTGTTTGTTGATTAACCTTAAAACAAGACAATATTTGGAAAAGGAAGTCTTCACCGTAAAGTTAAAGAAGGTTTATGTAATGTTGAAACACTATCACACAGATGTAAATTATAAAAAAAATGGCAACCCTGTTTTAAAAACTGAAACGGCCTTATGATTGTTATAATTAACATATAAACTTAAGCTTGTGTATTTTACTTAAAAGTGATTTTAATTATGTACTTTGCATGAGGACAGAGCAATTGATACCCTTTGATCACGTAACATATGTATATTAAACCTATGAGAGCATGTAGTAAGTGTTTGTGTTTTAAAAACTAAATACATTATACACAACACTTAATTATAATTATAACAATATTTCAAAAATAACTGATAAATAACATAATAGTAGCGCCAAGCGTGGTTGAATTAACAAAGCAAATTGTTAATATAAATACTTTGATATAAATACCTGAAATATGTACTGTAACAAATAAAAAGTGTGTGTGTTTTTGTTGTGATTCTGTTGTTGTTTAAACATTATGCCAACACCAGGTCGTATCCGTAAACAAAGATTGCACATGAATTCGTCTAAGAATTGTCATACCCAAGCCTTTGTGCAATCATTGCATTTTATCATAACTTAGTAATTGAGATAGAATACAGCTTAAGCAGGTGCTCTTGCTACAGATGCTGTACGTTTCATTTTCCGTCATGATAATAGGAAATCATATTACATTTAAAGTATCACGTTATGATTATTATTTTTAACGATGGATAATCTGAGTCCACTTTATCATATATTCTTTTAATTCTGTGCTCAACTTGACTTATGGTTTGCTTTCAATTCATCTTTGTCATGAAAATGATCAATGTATATATTATCAATTACATGTACATTGGTCACATTCGGACTATTGTACACGCCACATAAATGCAAAATCTGGATGGTTTTTAATATATCATGACTGATACCTTAAGATGTGTAGGTTAAATTCTTTTGAAAAAGTCAAAATTTACATTAGTCGTTATACTACCTTTAATAGTTTATCCTTAAAACAGATGACTGTTAAAAGAACAGTGCATTTACTGTGTCAAGCTCTTGTGGACATAGTGTCAAAAGAAAACATGCATCTGTTTATTGTTTTGCTATTGTCTTCAATCTACATCACGACTTCGGAATATGCAACGAGTTGTAGAAATTTTGATTGTGAATACAAACTGTTATCAAAATTAATACAACTCGAAGAAAGGACAGCTCAACAGGATAGCAAGATATCTCTATTAACCGAAAAGCTCGAAGGTAAATTTGAGTCTTTATTATCTTTTTAATGGTTATTAAAACTTGAATTCTAATAAATGCAATTATTCATTCGTTTGAGTAGTCAAATACATAGATGTATTAAATCTACTGGTTTCAGTATGTTCAATTTAATTTTGTTTTGTATTTTTTGGATTGAGATCAACAAAGCTAAAACTAAAGACGAAAGACAATACAATACTGGCTTATGTAGAAAAATTCAAAATTTTTAGTTAACTGCAATGTTTAATGTGATGCTTGTCATCTAAAACGTAAGTGTTAGTTAAAAGACGTGAAAAGGTAAATTGGACAATTGGGCAGATAAGATTATTGTATAAAATCAAAGCTACAGTAATTATCTTGTAGTTTTAACAACGAAATAAAAAGCTATGTATATTTATAATTGCAGCATGCTTCTTTAAAAAGACTTTATTCGGTGCCATTTTACTTTAATTTCTAAATGACCTTTATTTGGAAATCCCTCAATTTCAGATACTGAAAAAACAATAGCATTCCTGAATAACACAATTGTAACAAACCAGAAATCTGCTGATGGCACAACATACATTCGCTGGGGCCGCACCACGTGTCCCGGCAAAGCCGTTCTAGTTTACGACGGCTTCGTTGCCGGATCGGATCACACTCATAGCGGAACTGCAGTTAACCCTTTATGTCTGCCAAAAGATCCAGACTACGATAATTATCTCGACGGTTTTCAAGATTCAGGTAGGATATATGGAGCAGAATATCAAACAAGCACTTATCCGAAATGGACATATCTTCATGACCATGACATTCCGTGTGCAGTTTGCCGAATCCCACGAAATAATGTTCTGATGGTGCCAGGGAAAAATCGTTGTCATGAAAATTACATCTTGGAATACAAAGGCTATCTAATGGCTGGATACCACAGTCATGCGGCATCTTCTGAGTTTGTATGTGTTGATGAAAATCCCGAAACAATTAAGGGGTCTCATCAGGATCTGAATGGCAAATTATTTTATTTTGTTGAAGGCACTTGTGGCTCTCTACCTTGCAATCCATATAAGAACGGATGGGAGCTAACATGTGCTGTATGCTCCTATTCACACAATGCAAAGTCGACAAGTATTCAGCCATACACGTAGTTTTCATACCAAACCAGCATAAATGATAAATTCTTTATGCGATCATATGGTTATTTATATATTCTTCAGATTGTAAACAAGAATTTAAATAGACTACTAAAATGTTAGTTTCCTTATCATAAACTTAATGATCTTAGATAACGTCATTGCAAGTTTTTAACATTGTTATGGAAATAAACATCTGTTCGAAATAGATGACATGTTTTGTTACACCTACATTTTTATCATATGAAAAAATTATGTGAATAAAATGAATTTATAAGAATGTCTTAAATTAGTTTTCTTTTAATCTGAGCTAATAATATGAATGCACTTTTATAATTGATATACATATATATATTGATGAATTTAATATTCAAAATATCTCAAGTTCAACTTCAAGAGCTATAGAGCTATCACAGGTAATTAAATACGCTTGTTCATATATACATATATAATTGGGGAAATTTGTTATTCGAATAATACATGTAGAAAAATAACACGCATATTCTATAGTAACAAAAACAAACGTGCTGCTTTTGGATATAGTATTTTGTTTACATTTACATTTGTTTTAAAATCTGTATGATTTGGCTTCAACGACTTAAATGTAGATCATTTAAACTAAAGATCACATGAACGTCAAGGAAAATGTACTATTTCTCTTACAGCACTGTCATTTTAAGAGGTTACTGTTTTATAGATTTCTGACGGGTGAGGGGAATAACTGCTTAGATAGACACATCTGTGGACACATCTATAAAACGCAACGTTGGGAGAAGTCATTTTGTTTCATAGCAGCCTCTTTACTTTTGAACACTGGTGTGTTTTCAAGCCTAATTTACTTTATTTCTTAACAAGTATTGAATAAAATTGATTCAAAGATGTAAATTAACTGTTTCACTTCAAAAATAATAAAAGTATACCATTGTAAATTCATTGATTTCAGCATTGCTAAGTGTTGCACATATTCATTATCGCTTTTGTACAGACTCAATCAAACCGAGTCTGCAATTTGATGTGATTTTGCTGATTGTAATGCTTTTAAGATCACTTTTCCTCATTTTTTTCCAGAATCTATACATAAAAAGCAGGTGTCATGTGCCGTGTGGCATCCGTAAAAGTTGCCCAGTATTTCACTTCAGTGTTTGATTGCTTTTCGTTGTTGTTTTTTTCTGGTCCTTAGGAATCATAGATTCCAGCACTGTTGAGTTTCGCTCAAGTCGATGCAAGGGGTACATACACAATCAAACAGAGTGTGAAATTTTCATTTAAATGCTTCCGAGGGATCTTTTTTGACAGCTGTTCATTTTTGGATACACCTTGAAATACCTGCCTTTTTTAGGTTTAAAGATAAAAGATCAAAGCCCATTTACTCAAAAGCTTTCCAGCTATTCAATATAATATTGGTTTACTTGTTATTCTCATCATGTTGTGCAATACATGTAATTCACAAGAGCATGTAATCCTAAATATTTTAAATTATAACCAAGAAGGACGCTAAGATGCTAAAGAAGTTTTAGCTTCACTGTTTTTAAGATGAATGAAGAGTCAAAATGCATATAGGGAACGTCATATAAAATTCTCCTACGATCTTGGCCATAATAATTTATATTAAAATTGACACGTCTTTAAGGTAGACCTCGTCCGCGATATCATGTCAATAATATCAATAACCATCAAACAGATTTAGATGAGATTGTCAAATAATAACCTTTAAGTAGGCACTACGTTTCAAAATTACCTTAAATAATCAGATAATGCTAAATAAGATGGCTGCAATAGCTAAAATATGTTAACGGTATTTCATAAATAAATTTTGTGTGAACTTTAACCATTTTAAAGTAATTCTGTGTAAAATATTTACGTTTTGGCTCATTGACAAGCAAAATTAATCTTTGGAGCTCAGAGAATTTGTCACAAGTGGCACTCATGTTTAAATTGTTCACGGTTGTGGTAGTCCATTCATATAAATCGAAGAATATGATTTTCTTCATTAGAAGTGACCGTCCGGTCATTATAAAATGTGGGCTTTTAATTGTTTTGATAAATAATTAACGATAATTCTTGCGGGCTGGAATGAAAATATTTTCCGCTTCTACAGAGTGCGTTTATTCCATATGGAATAAGTCTGCTGTTCAGCGAGTTGGTTGTAAACTGTCTAAGATGTGCTTATTTATTTATTTATTTATTTATTGCGTCTTATAAGTGCGTTTATCTGATATTGAATAGTTTCACAAGTCTCCTATTTTACTCACTAACAACTTTTTTACTTGTACCTTATAACATGGTCTTTCAAGTTTCTATTTGAAAGACCCTAATCATCCATACTGTTATAATGAATTGGTCAACAAAAATTTTATATTCAAATATACATTTATATTTTAAATACAAAATTATATTGTATTATCTACTTCCTTTACACACGTGCAATGCAGCCATATCTAAAACTATTAGCTGCCAGACTATTGTATTTTGATAATGAAACTCTTTTAAAAATGTCTTTAACTAAATCACTAAATCAAGAATGATAAAAAAATATCTAAAGAACGTTCAGAACATCAAACTTGAAAATATTGCATTGATTAAGCCTATTCATGGAAGGTTCTGTGAAGTGCAAACTACAATCCGCACCCCCCCCACCTCAAGCTGTAACATTTTAAAGCATTTGATTTGAAATGGTAAAATTCTGTAATAATATCCGCGAATTATTTGGTTATTGATTTTTCAATATATGATCCATAATGCCCCTAATGAAAATTTGTGGTAAGTTATTTCTTGTTGCACTGATATCGTACGAACGCAATACGAATACTGTTTTTTTAACAGATTATTAAAAATTATATGGTACTACACATGTATATTATAGACTGAAATAAAAAGAATTCTGGAAATGAATTACATTTAATGCAGAAAATAAAGCGTTGCTGACTTTGATACTGTCAATTATATGATCATAGTTACAGAGTTTAATGGCAGGTAGCTCGGAAACAAGTCCAAGTCGTTCACTTGATGGGTGTACTTATACGGTCCCGTAGACCGCTTCGATATTTAGTGCAACAAATAAATTTTCTAATTTACGAAACCGCCTTCTGTTGTTTTTTTTTAAGGAAAGGGGCTGCTTTGTGTATTCATTTTTAGGACAATAATATAATATAAATGGACATTCTTTTATAAGCTCGAATATTATACCTTAGCCGACTTTAATTTTTATCTTTTGATGTATTAAATCGTTGCCCGTTTTCAACATTTCGGTACAAACATTACCCAAGATTCTACCACTTTCTATTTCCTTTCTCATAGCGTTTCATCACTCTATTTTCATAGATATGCTTCACGCCTTCTTCATAAAACTGAGTTGAATATTTTATGAGTATCTACATTTTTTAATTAAACCGTAATTAAAATGTTCTTTGAACTCGATAAATCAAACGGCTAAATGGGGTTATGTCCCACAAGTCAAGTTTTAAATATCGTTGTTATTCGAGTTCGAATATTGATTAATGCAATGCCATTGGCCATATTGATATAAATATTTTATTAATTTTGATCATTTGAGTAGAAACGTATACAACCTTTATCAAATTGTAATTTCATGAAGTGATACAAACTACATGCATGTCTGAGAAACTGACAAGGTTATTTGCGTACAATGAAAATGTATTCACATCTAAAGACAACTCTGCTTTCAATGTCATGCTAGAGAAGTTTGTAGTCAATAAATCGAAATAAGATGTCTCTATCTAAGGTTAAAGCAAGTATAATGTATTTTTTGTTTAAAATTTAAAAGTATCCAGTTATCTTATGAAATATGATTGAATGCAATTTATAATTGATTGTTTCTATAACTTTGTTGTCAACTCTCAAAAGAGTTGTCAAATAGATTGTCTCGCACGAATATTTTATGTAAACAGAAATAAATATCATTCTTCTATTTTAAGACGGGTTTTTAACAATTGAGTTTGAATTCCTTGCAAGCGCGAGTATTTCCGAAAGGGAATCAACATTCATTATGTCTTTCAAATGTATATTTTGAAATTCTTCTTCATCAAAATTCAACAATGAGATTTCCATGTGCCATTGTCGTTTTTCTTTTTAACCAGCGTTTTGTTCTTCTTCTATATAAAGTGAAGAAAAAATCATAAATAAGCACCATATGCTGTTCCAAACTGTTCAAATCCAATTTGTGTGATTGTTTTGCCAATTCAACATTGAAATTCCATCATTTTTGGATCGACACTTTATTCGTTTTCTATATAAAATGAAAATGTTTCAAATTTGTAAAAAAACAACACCATGTTCTAATGCCAAACATTAAAATACCATTTGCGTGCTTGCTTCGCAAATAAGAAATTGTCTAAGTTTGGACGTTTTTCTTTAAAGACATATCAGCCACAAAAATCTAGTTCAAGGGATGAGGCCTTAAGATTTCCGCGTAGCTTGATATTTTTTGACCGAAGATTTGTTTACTATATTAAGTGTAAAATCATTCGCAAAAAACATCATTTTCTGATAACATCCGTTCAAACACCATTTAAATGATTGTTTTGTCCATAGTTTGGATATTCTTCTTTACCGATATGTAAGGGACAAAGCGTTCCGTCCAGGAATATGGCTACGAGATTTCCGTGTGGCATGGTAATATATTTTGAACAATGATTTGTTCGTAAAATGTTTCTTAAACACACAATAGCATTTTAATGCTTACCATCCAAATAGCTTTTGTGTGATAACGTTGCCAATTAGAAATTATAAATTAATAATATATAAATTTTAAAGAAATTTTCTGTTGCAAACTGTTCGAACAACACATATGAGATTGTTTTGATGATCAGTTTTCGTTTGGAGGTTCTTCTTTACAGAAACACAGGCAAAAAGTTCTAGGATTATGGCTAGGATATTTCCGCGTGACATTTTCATTTTTAACCTACCATTTGTTCTTTGTCTATAAAAAATGAAAACATTTTCTGTTGCTTGCCGTTCAAACATAATTTGAGTGTTAACGTTGCGGATTGGAAATTCAATTAGTTTGGAGATGTTCACATGCCGACCTGATTGAAAACAAAGACAGTAGTTAGCAAGGAAGAGTGAATTCAGTGTCATTGTATTTGTAGCAGACAAAAAGAGTGGTAAAATTTTTTGTGATTCAGATTTTCTATAGAAAAAAATGGTTGTCTAGGAAAGGCTGTTCAACGTAATTCACTTTTATATAACCAGGAACCCGATTTAGATCTAGAGGTCTTTTTCTGTAAAAGAAAAAAGCAGAACCTTGATAATAAGGTCCTT